TTCTTAATAAAAAAAAACAAAAAATCTTCTGGGGACAGCTGTAGAGAATACAAGTAGTAGGCAAGGTAGGAGGTCCCTTAGTAGTGCAGTGAAGGGCGAAAAATAATAAAAAAAAGGTGTAACAGTGACAAAGTGTTTGAGGAAGTCTTGAGTGGAGACTAGAGAAAAAGTAAAATAAAACTCGTTTAAAATGAAAAACATGTAATTTTTAGGCACATGTTCTCGTTTCAAAGTATGGAAAACACTTGATTGATATCTGCTGACCGTCAGAATAAGTGAAAGCAGTGGAGCAAGAAACGCTGGCCATTTGGCGTATAACTGTTGGGCATCGCCCAGTTTTGCTTCGGATATATAAAATAGCTATTAAGGTCAAGATACAGATGCATACGCATTGCTGGAGGTGGGTAGTCTCTTAGGATTTAACTGCGCACATCCCGTGGCTGCATTTTGGTGATATTCTGAGGCTTACGTTGACAGTTCTTCCAGCGAAATTGAACCGGCAGATTTGGCAGATATGTCCTAAGCCAGCATGTAATTTAGTGCTTTAGGCGGTTCGGCAGCACGAAGCGGTCGCGTGAAGGTTGGTGACCAGGTTTTGGCAATTGATGGCATCGATGTTACTGGAATGAGCTATCTGGAAGCGACCAAGACGCTGCGGTCGCGCCCGCAAGGTCCGATCACAATGATCATCCGCTCTCGCCTGCTCTGACTGTCGTCAGTGTGTTCATGCTCAATTCATTATGATCATTATTAATCGTGCAACTACTCCATTTCGTGGTTTTATGGTGCCTTTATCGTCATCCCACTGGTGCATTGGGCAGAAAGTTCTTTGCATCTCCCGTAGTGCAGATTAGCATTTTGTGTGGTGGGCATTTTCTGTTGAAGGAGAGGGGTACAGCTCATATAGTGCAGCTGTCTTGGTTTCCTGTGAAACTGAAAATTTTGAGATGCTTCAGTGCGCTAACTGAACCGGTTGAATGTGTTTGTTGTCAGTTCTACTAGACAAAAACGACCAAACGAGTTTATTTCTA